ATTAGTATTCTCTAATGTATTTAAGAAGCATTAATGTATAGAAATACTTTGGAAAAGAAGTACATATGAACAGCTTAAAAATAACATTTATTAGGGATACAAGTGAATCTTTCTAAGAGTAGAATGTGAACGTTTTAAAACAATAACTGAGAAAATGACATGAAGGCTGTGTTGACCAGTTTGATGGAAGTATTTCAGATTGCATGTGAAACCCCCACACTGTACCCCAGAAGTGCATTAATGACATAGTTACCATTCAATAAAAAAAAAAAAATTAAAAAAAAAGGAAGAACAATAAAAAAAAAACATTTATTCAAGGAAGTCAGTTCAATAAATCATTTTAATGCAGGATTTTTATTTTCAGTTTTTGATTTTAGATATTTAAAAATCATATTATCAGAGCTTATCTTAAAATAAAAATATTAAAGTGGTAGTCAAATTATATATACATTTATCATTTTTTTCTTTTTTTTTTTTGCAGTTTTTGGCCTGGGCTGGGTTTGAACCCATCACCTCCGGCATATGGGGCTGGCACCCTACTCCTTTGAGCTACAGGCACCGCCCTATACATTTATCATTTGAAATAAAATAACTGTCATTATGTTTTGGTAATTTCATAGTTTTACATTTGATTTCTGACTCCTTTTTTCCCTTTCCTAAAGGGCTTTTTTGTCCTTTTTTGATGGTTGTAAGAAATGAACAAATAGGAGGTTATGATATTTCTAAGTACTTCACTCATAATTATGTTTTTATTTTATCCTAAGTTTATTCCTTTATTCTCTTTTACAATCCAATATTGTCAAAAAGAAGTTTGTTATAACTTTGCTGAGCATGAACTGTATTTGGGAGTTGGGGGGATGATGAGAAGAGCACAGTTTCTCCTCCTTTTGTCCATACTATGATAAGATTATTTTTATCAAACATTTGTTAGTTCTATGAAATACCCCTTAAAATGTGTCATACAATAATAAATCATTTTGAAGCTAAGCTCAGAGAAAGTGTGTGAGGGGGGAGGGTTGAGTAATGATTGATTACTGTCTACCTTTTAAACCTAGCTTGTTCCAGCATGATTTAATATGCTCAAAGGTGTGAAATAACAAATAACGTTTATTAGTTGATTATTGCCCAGATTTAAAAAAATTTTTACCATTTGTCAACATGTGGCAAATTTTGAAGACTTCCTTTACTAACATTCACTGGGTTCTTACTAATTATCAAGAAACATTCTAAAAACTTCACATGTATTCTTTTCTGTCCTTACCGTAACCTTATTATGTACTATTATTAGCCTTATTTTATACATGAGTGCATTGAGTCACATATAGGCTAAGTTACTTGCCTAAAGCCACACAGCTAGTGAGTGACAGTGCTGGGGTTTGAATGGGATCTCTTCCAGAGCTTAGGCTCTTGGACTTTGTTTATAATCCATCTACAGCTAGAACAACATGTTTGCTTTTATTATACATTGTATATGGTTGAGATGAAGTAATCCCAGTTTGAGGACCGAAATAACATTAGGCAAATATGATCTTCATTCATAAGTACTGAAGAGCTCACTTGTTGGTTCTAGTAGCCTTGAGCCTTTGCATGTCTTGGAAACCCCTGTCAACAGACTTGTTCAGCCGGGCTCAGTGGCTCACGCCTGTAATCCTACCGGGAGGCTGAAGTGGGTGAATTGCTTGAACTCAGGAGTTCAAGACCAGCCTGAAGAACAGCAAGACCTCATCTCTTCTAAGAATAGAAAAACTGGCCAAGTTTGATGGTGGCCATCTGTAGTCTCAGCTACTTGGGAGGCTGAGACAAGGGGATGGCTTAAGCCCAAGACTTTAAAGTTGCTGTGAGCTACCATGATGCCAGGGCCCTCTACCCAGGGCAGCAGAGTGAGACTGTGTTTCAAAAAAAAAAAAAAAAAAAAAAAATGGATTGAAATAGGTTACCAAGTTCCTACAAATATTAATAATTCATTTTGAACAAGAACCTTCCCTCTTTGGCAGCTGATTTCTATCTTTTTTTCTAGTACACATCCTGTAGATGAATGTCTAAGGAGTAATTGATGAGAGAGATAACAGGAAGTTATACAATCCCAGGCCACAGAGATAGCAGGATGGATGCCTCATTGAGCCTGTTAGGAAAATGCCCTTTTGCATTTCATGAAAATAGCATAATTATTCAGCCTAAGCTTTAACTTAACATAGAGGTATTTTATTAGAGGACTAGTATGTTTCTATTATTTTTAGACTTAAGAAGGTTCTTTGTAAACTTGTATGTAATAATAGCATTAATAAAAAAATAAGGTATTTTGGGGAAATAGTTTTCCTTACTATTTATTGACTTGGCTAACAGAGTTATCAGTGCTTAAAGAATAACAAGAAAAATTCTTTTAACACTTCAAAGGCATTATTTACTGTCATTCTAATAAGGGAAGCAATTGCCGTTTTCATTAAATTTTTCTGGTTGGTTTAATTATTCTGGGTCATATACTATCACAACATTTTTAGACACTAATCTGAATTTTCAGAGAATGATTTTCAATTTGTTTGATTACACAACATTGGTGCTTTACAATGCACTGATTATAAAACCATTTGGTAGTAGCTTTCTATATAAGCTATGTAGTTCAACACCAGTCATTCTGTTATATAACCACATGTTTTGGGATAGAGTACTACTAGTTTATTTCAGTTATTATTGGGGGCTTATATTATTGGCATTAATAAGCCCTCTTCCAGTTAATACATAGTAAATTAGTATACCAACATCAGGTTTATATATAAACACATAAACAAACACTCCCATTTCTTAGTAAACCTAAGTTGTCTTTCTTAACCTTTGTGTACTAATTTTCAAAGAATTCCTAATTCCTACATGTCAACTTTCACTTCACAGACTGCATATAGTCACATTTGGAGATTTTATTGAAAATGTTCTAAAAGTTACTTGGATCTGTATAATAGAAATAGAATTTTTTAAAGGGTAGTTTTAAATTTTGTATTTTCTACCAGTGCTGAGTTTGGCATTTAGATAGTCCATTTAGAATTTTTATGAGGAAATAATTGTTTTTTAGAATTACATTTATTTTTTTAAAAGCCAGAGCATAAACTGTAAAATTTCCGAACTAAGGCTAAATCTTACTTAGACTAATCAAATGATGTTACTCTTTTTGTAGGAGAAGACCTCTACTTTGGACCTATTGGTAATGATGGCCTGAGCTCAACACCTCCCAAGTAGAAGGGACACCCTTCTGTTACAAGGAACAGAATGCTGAGGCAGCTGTGGCAAGTATGTGTTTCATTGTCTTGATACAGATCCCAAATGTACTCACTTTGCATACTATGATACAATATTTGGCTAAAGTTTTGAGCTAAAAGCTTTCCTTAAAAAGCAACAGATAACATACTTAACACTTTGGATAAAAATACACTTTCAGAGTTTAAAAACTATAGGCATACTGACTGCTTTAATTTCAAAGGAAACAGCATCATACTTCCATAATAAATCTTATGCAGTATAATTGATTTTTCAGCTAATATTTGCTGAAATCTGCTGTTTGTGAGGCACTATATCAGGTTCTGTGATAACAGGTAAACAAATGAACGTCATGAAGGCAGGGACCTTTATTGTGGGGAAATTGATCTAGAATTTTACCATTTTTTTGCCTATGTCCAGAATAATGCTTGAAGATTTATAAGAAAAATTCCCAAAACTGTATCTTCAATTTATAAGCTACTAATAATAGTTATTTATAATTATAAAAATTAAGATATTCATTAAATAATTTTATTTGGATCAACCATACCAATATTTAAATAGTTGAATATATTTATACATAATTGATTTTACATTTTGTTTATCTGACTGATTAATTGGCTTTTGTTGAGACATAGTCTCACTTTGTTGCCCCCTTGGTAGAGTGCCATGGTGTCACAGCTCACAGCAACCTCCAGCTCCTGGGCTTAGGCGATTCTCTTGCCTCAGCCTCCCAAGTAGCTCAGACCACAGGCACCCACCATAACACCCGGCTATTTTTTTTGTTGTTGCAGTTTGGGCAGGGCCAGGTTGGAACCCACCACCCTCAGTATGTGGGGCCAGTGCCCTATTCACTGAGCCACAGGGGCCACCCTGATTAACTGGCTTTTATAAGAAGCATTAGATTACATACTGTGTTTGAAATATTTCTAGTTTAGTAATTATTTATTCTAGATTGTTCCAGAAAATATTAAGAAAGATCCAAAACCATTAATGTGGTAATTCATTTTTAAAAAATTGATAGAGTTCTTACAAGTTGATATTATCAATACTAATTACTATTATTTTTCAAAGTATTTTTTAAAATTGAATCATTGTATTCTCGGTAAAGTAGGTGACATTTCACTTATTTATAAATAGGGAAGATAATGAACAAATGAATGGTTTTTCAGACTCTCAAAGATTATCTCACTTGGAACTAAGAATAGCATTCTTGTGTTAGACTGCTGTGAAAGACTTAACACTCCTTCTTGAGAAAAGTAGGCAAAGTCAAAAAATTAGTTTTGGATCATGTTCACAAACTACTAATGAGATAGGAGATTCACGATAGTGCTAGTTTATGTGTCACTCTCATTATACCGTGTACCTACCTACATGCCAACTAGGGGCAGAAGGTCCTAGACAGAGACCTTTCAAAAAGATATTTCACTCCTCACATCTGGGGTCAGAGCTTGCCAGGAGAAATCTGTCCGTGGATTCTGCTTTAAATCTTTTTTTTCCCCACAAAAATAAGCTTGTTATATAAAATCAAACACTTATACCATTTTCAACATTTCATCAGTAATTCAAACTTACTGATATCTGAGAGTGCTTTGTGTTTTGGAAGATTACCTAAACTAAGAATGTATTTACATATTAACAACTCGTGTAAATATAACTGAAGAACTACTTCAACTAATTTTGACATTCACAGAATTGTAGAGATTTATAACATGGAAGTATCGTAAATTTGTCTACAATCGAATATACTGCGCAAAAGCATGGACCACCTCATAACTTTGCACGTCATCCTTGTGCAGAGGCCATGCTAATCTTCTCTGTATCGTTCCAATTTTAGTATATGTGCTGCTGCAGCGAGCACTCTTCTTTTAATCTTTAGAATCAATTGAGGTTCACTTTATTGGGTATAAAAAAACAGGTAGGGAGGATAGTTTTCCTGACCTTTCAGCCTAAATCTTTCTCAGCAGAGAGATCCTCTGAAGTTAGAATATCTTTAGCCACAGTTGCTTTTCTTTCATTTTCTTTTTTCTTCTAAGACAGAGTTTCACTTTGTCCACCTGGGTAGAGTGCCATGCCATTATAGCTTACCACAACCTCAAACTCTTGGGCTTGAGTGATCCTTTGCCTCAGCCTGATAGCTGAGACTCCAGGTACCCGCCACCATGCCTAGCTATTTTTAGAGACAGTGTCTTGCTCTTGCTGGGGCTGGTCTGGAAGCTTGAGCTCAAGTAGTCCACCCACTTTGGCCAGAGTGCAAGGATGACAGGTGTGAGCCACCCTTCCCGGCCCTAGCTACAGTTTCTTAGATGCTTTCACTTTCATCACTTTCAGTCCTGTCTCTGTATTCACTTTAATACTTGACTTTTTATTGTCATGAGATTTTTTTTGGCAATTTCCTCAAGATTTATCTTTCAGGTAATGATGTAGGTTACCAAAAGTTTTTAAAAAACATTTGTAAAAAACATGTGTTGTGCATACCAATTTGGGTTGTAAAATAACCTAATTTAATTTTTTTTTTTTTTTTAGAGACAGAGTCTCACTTTGTCATCCTCAGTAGAGTGCAGTGGCATCAC